GGAGTAAGTATTTGTTTCCTGTTATATCTTAATCACTGTTGATATAATAAGGACTTGGTAGTTGGCAGTTTGGAGTAAGTATTTGTTTCTTGTTATATCTTAATCACTGTTGATATAATAAGGACTTGGCAGTGGGCAGTTTGGAGTAAGTGTTTGTTTCCTGTTATAGCTTAATCACTGTTGATATAATAAGGACTTGGTAGTTGGCAGTTTGGAGTAAGTGTTTGTTTCCTGTTATAGCTTAATCACTGTTGATATAATAAGGACTTGGTAGTTGGCAGTTTGGAGTAAGTATTTGTTTCCTGTTGTATCTTTATCACTGTTGATATAATAAGGACTTGGTAGTTGGCAGTTTGGAGTAATTATTTGTTTCCTGTTATATCTTTATCACTGTTGATATAATAAGGACTTGGTAGTTGGCTGTTTGGTGTAAGTATTTGTTTCCTGTTATATCTTTATCACTGTTGATATAATAAGGACTTGGTAGTTGGCAGTTTGGAGTAAGTGTTTGTTTCCTGTTATAGCTTAATCACTGTTGATATAATAAGGACTTGGTAGTTGGCAGTTTGGAGTAAGTATTTGTTTCCTGTTATATCTTTATCACTGTTGATATAATAAGGACTTGGTAGTTGGCTGTTTGGTGTAAGTATTTGTTTCCTGTTGTATCTTAATAACTGTTGATATAATAAGGACTTGGTAGTTGGCAGTTTGGAGTAAGTATTTGTTTCCTGTTATCTCAATCACTGTTGATATAATAAGTACTTGGTAGTTGGCAGTTTGGAGTAATATTTGTTTCCTGTTATATCTTAATCACTGTTGATATAATAAGGACTTGGTAGTTGGCAGTTTGGAGTAATATTTGTTTCCTGTTATATCTTAATCACTGTTGATATAATAAGGACTTGGTAGCTGGCAGTTTGGAGTAAGTATTTGTTTTCTATCCATGTTGTTAGACATTGTTTATATAATCTGCTTTTTAGATCCTATAAAATGGCATTGTTAAGATATTTCTATAAAAATGGAAATATAGCTATCCATGTTGAAGCAAATAGTGCGAAATACCTCTCATTTTCTTCAAATTCTGAGCACTTTTTTAAAATTTTGTTAGTGATACCTTTTCAGCCTCTTCTTCACAATCATCATGATAGAGTCAGATGTTATCCGTTGCTTTGCACTTAGTAACCATGATAGTGTAGTCATTCATACATATTTCTTATTAACTACAGAAATAACAGAATCTAAACTCTTTGTTGTTATGGTAGTATCAGATTCTTGTTCTGAATAACCATGATATTGTCAAATTTAAAAATACTTTGGGTAATCATAATATAAGATTTTATACATAAACTTATTAACCACATCATGATATTGTCAGATTGTGTACCATATTTGTAATGATATTAATGTCAGATTTTATACATAACCTTTTTAACCACATCATGATATTGTCAGATAGTGTACATCTACTGTCTGTAGTAACTACAATACTGTTTGATTTTAAGTCTTTTCTTGTTGTGTAGTAACCAAAATATTGTCAGGTGTGATAAGATCAGATTTGAGAACACCTGCCCTAAGTAAGTACAATTTCAGAATGATGAGAACACAGAAGTATTAAGACGTTTCTCTTCTTTTTCATTGTAGGTTGTGAGGAGAGGAAAGTGGCGAGGCAGCTTTGATGTAGCAGTGAAGATGATGAAAGAGGGAAGCATGTCTGAAGATGACTTTATTGATGAAGCTAAAGTAATGACGTAAGTATTAATTAAACTGTGTCATGAAGATGAAAGAAGGTAGCATGTCTGAAGATGACTTTATTGATGAAGCTAAAGTAATGATGTAAGTATTAAGTAAACAGTCTACAGTCCTGATTTGGAAGTTAATATCAGGAAAGCTATATTTTAGATTAATACAAAATCTATCCCTCAACCAAAGACCAAGTAGCATTTTTGGGTGGTAGGGCAACGAACAAGAAATTTCACTAATTGTTTCCTGTTGCATGCACCGTTGAAAATTCTGAAATCTGCTATTTTTGAATATGTAACTTATATTATGGTAACTTGATTCCAGTGGGAGATATGAGCAGTGAAAGTAGCACAGGGTTTCAAAGTGGCCACAGAAGGCTACTAATACTGTTGAAAGTAGCACAGGGTTTCAAAGTGGCCACAGAAGTCTACTGATACTGTTGAAAGAGGCACAGGGTTTCAAAGTGGCCACAGAAGGCTACTACTACTGTTGAAAGAGCCACAGGGTTTCAAAGTGGCCACAGAAGACTACTACTACTGTCACTACTTTCATTCTCAGCACTAAGCTTATTTTTGAGTGCCACCACGCTATCTTTGGGCTTGACAGATGGATTTACTGCAACAAGGGCTGCCATGATCTTGTATCTGCAGTGACTTCACAGGTTGGAAGTAGAACATCTTGGAACATGGAACGTGCAGGTAATCAAGATAATATTGGTGATGACATGTTGAAGAGTAGCAAAGTTCCAGTCTTGAGCAGCAGGACTTGGAGCTATCTGCTGAAGATCTTTTAAGAAGACTCGTATAGTGGATCTGTTGATTACACAAGAAGTAATGCCATTAAATGAGTGCTGATGATGTGGTCAGTCATAAATAGGTCCGTTGTTGTCCAATTTTGAAAAATTTTAATCATCGTATCTTATCTTATGCTACATGCTATATAAGTTTCACCAAAATTGGATAAATCTTCGAATTTTTAATCTGATCTCTCCTACCTAGTTGAGAAAGAGATCCTGTGTTAATATGTGGAAGAATCAAAACAGTAAACAACAGTGTTTGGAATATTGAACTATTTTTTTACATTCAGCAAAGTAGAGATCTTTATTTTAGATTCAGCTATTTAAAGAACCAGAAAATCAGTGAATAGATTTTAGAAAGTAGAGATCTTTATCTTAGATTCAGCAATGTAAAGAACCAGATAATCAGTGAATAAAGTGTAGAAAGTAGAGATCTTTATTTTAGATTCAGCAATGTAAAGAACCAGAAAATCAGTGAATAAAGTGTAGAAAGTAGAGATCTTTATTTTAGATTCAGCTTTTTAAAGAACCAGAAAATCAGTGAATAAAGTGTAGAAAGTAGAGATCTTTATTTTAAATTCAGCAATATAAAGAACCAGAAAATCAGTGAATAAAGTGTAGAAAGTAGAGATCCTTATTTTAGATTCAGCTATTTAAAGAACCAGAAAATCAGTGAATAGATTGTAGAAAGTAGAGATTTTTATTTTAGATTCAGCAATGTAAAGAACCAGAAAATCAGTGGATAAAGTGTAGAAAGTAGAGATATTTATTTTAGGTTCAGCAATGTAAAGAACCAGAAAATCAGTGAATAGATTGTAGAAAGTAGATCTTTATTTTAGATTCAGCTATTTAAAGAACCAGAAAATCGGAGAGTAAAGTGTAGAACTGTATTTTACAATGTTGATATCTCAACTTTTTATATATATTTGTATAAAGTTTTTTTTCAGAACATAAGGTGTAGCCTAATGTTGTTTTATTTCATTTTATAACTACCTTCTTTCATACCTGCAGCAAACTACAGCATCCAAACTTAGTGCAACTTTATGGAGTGTGCAGCAAACATAGGCCTATTTTCATTGTAACTGAGTACATGAAGCATGGTAAGTGTTTATCTTTGTTACTGAATACATAAAGTATGATAAGTGTTTATCTTTGTAACTGAATACATGAAGTATGATAAGTGTTTATCTTTGTAACTGAACAGATGAAGCATGATAAGTGTTTATCTTTGTAACTGAATACATGAAGTATGATAAGTGTTTATCTTTGTTACTGAATACTTGAAGTATGATAAGTGTTTATCTTTGTAACTGAATACATGAAGTATGATAAGTGTTTATCTTTGTAACTGAACAGATGAAGCATGATAAGTGTTTATCTTTGTTACTGAATACATGAAGTATGATAAGTGTTTATCTTTGTTACTGAATACTTGAAGTATAAGTGTTTATCTTTGTAACTGAATACATGAAGTATGATAAGTGTTTATCTTTGTAACTGAATACATGAAGTATGATAAGTGTTTATCTTTGTAACTGAACAGATGAAGTATGATAAGTGTTTATCTTTGTTACTGAATACATGAAGCATGATAAGTGTTTATCTTTGTAACTGAATACATGAAGTATGATAAGTGTTTATCTTTGTTACTGAATACATGAAACATGATATAGTTTAGATGTATACTGTATGGATTAACTTAGAATCTTAAATTCACATGTTTATACACATTGTTTAACTTATTGTCTTTTCTAGGATCTTTGTTAAGTTATCTGCGAAAAAATGACCAGAGGCTATTCCAGAAACCATCTGTTCTGCTAGATATCTGCCTTCAAGTGTGTAGTGGAATGGCACATTTAGAAGAGCACAACTACATTCATAGAGATCTAGCAGCACGGAACTGTCTGGTTGGGGATGGTAATGTTGTTAAAGTGGCAGATTTTGGTTTAACCAGGTGATGTATTGTTTGCTCTTCTAAAACTATTTGTAGTCATGTTAATCCATGATTTTTTTATTACTGTTTCTGCTTACCAAGCTTGTCAGATACTTGTCTTCCTGTCGGACTGGTCAAATTAAAATTCCTTTTCATTTCTTCTTCTTATAGTTCACAAAATATGTTTTGGCTACTTAATATTCATTTTATTGATATTTGTTATTTTTTAATAGTACTGTAATGAAATCAGGGTTGCCAGATTGGTAGTAAAACCCCCATTTGTATGGGGAAGTCAAACCCATGAGGGAAGGAAAATCAAATAGGGGCTAATGCTAAACATGTGGGGGGTTTCAGTTTCTCTCTAGTTTTCTTCCATTGTGTTTTCATGATTGTTTAAAATGTTAATTGTGCCTTCTGATAATAATGGGCTACCTTATTAGCCACTAATACCTGCCATTTATAGACTACCCTATTAGCCACTAATACCTGCCATTTATAGACTACCCTATTAGCCACTAATACCTGCCATTTATAGACTACCCTATTAGCCACTAATACCTGCCATTTATAGACTACCCTATTAGCCACTAATATCTGCCATTTATAGACT